TCATATGCATTTAAAATCAAAACAACTCCCAACAAATGTGTTTTTCTAGTGACGTCCAAACGCCTCATTTTCTGGAACTGGACCTGCTTCTTCTTGGCCCGACGCACTTATGGTTAGCCACCTGCCTCATGAGCCGCGTCATCAGGCCGCCAGCTCACATCTGCGGGCCACAGAGGTACTGATCTACTAAAGACGGGAAAGACAGACAGACTCTTGGATCATTTGTTTATCATCTTGCATGGGTGTAGTCCATATGCATGTTCTGTGTGAGTCACATCAAAGTCAGCAAGAGAGCCTTTCACTGAGCTCCACCGCACTAACACAGCGTGATTTACGAACATGTTGCTGGGTCCCAACTGTGGGGAACCCCGTTCAGCACAGAACATAAACACCCACATTTCTGAACAACCCGAATCAAAGGCAGACTCAGGGTGGGCTGACTGGTGTGTTGTGCTGATGCGTGGCTGCGGGTGGTCAACCAGGAGGGTGAAACCGGACTGTGTGATCCATTAATAAGAACCAGTCTCTCTTTGCCACAGTGTAACTGGTTCACACTGTCTTCAGTTACAGGAAAACATCAGCCCACAAGCACTTTAACCCCAAGAATTCTAATCTGAAATTGGGATTTCAAACAGCATGTAAAATGTTGTGTCTGCAGACTACTGCCAAGCAACATTCATCTCTAATTTGGTTTTATACTTGGTGTCATAGAACTGTAACACATGCTAATTGAATGTTAAATAGTGTGAACTTAATATAAACATAGAAGTGATTGAACAACAAGGTCAAGATGAATAAATCACTTTAATCTATGTATAAGTCAAATATGATGTGTAGGAAGAACCCCTCATGTAGTCCATTATTTTTATGTTGTTTTAAACATGGCCTATGGGTCTGAAATCAACTGTTTTAGCTTTGCCTTGCATAGGGGCTTGATTGACTTGTGAGCAATACAATTGAAGTAGAATAATACAATAACAGACAATAAAAAGGTTGAATATAGTGGACTTTTTTTCCAGCTGCAAGTTTTCATCTGTGGCCTAAAGGAACATACGTTTGGGAGATGATCACTGAAAACATTGTAAACCCACAAAGCAAGACTGCCTCGATGCTAAAGTATACTTTTATTTTATTTATTATTACATAGAGATTAGTCATTTGAGCTATCAAGTCTCTCAGAAAACTGGGGACAACCTCAGAGATGAGTCTCTTCATCATCAGATGAGTCCTCATGTGGTTCATTCTGTCTGGACTGTTTTTGAAACGAGAACATTTGAACGTCACAGGGATTTTTTTTTTATCCATGAAGTGAATCATTTCAGAAAGCTTGAGTTTTGATTAAATTGGAAGTTTTTAATTATTCATTTGAAAAATATCCACTTTTATAGATAGTGATGTATTTCCTTCCCATGACCAAAATAAAAACTTACAAATTCTAATTTTATTTAGCATTTAATCATTTTTTTTGGGCCCCTTGGGTGCAGTACAACAACGGATTTATCTTTAAAATAATGAAGCATTTTCACCTTATCGAGTTGTGAAGGTGAATGTGTTTGCAACGACATGAGGAAAATATGCAATGTGCTTTAACATTGTTCAAAATTCCCAAAACAACATGAAGTGCGATACATAAACAAAAATGTAACTCAAAATGTTTATGTCGATCTGATGTTTCTCAAGTTTTTTACACAATACCTACATGTGTTTCTATTTTGTCCCTCCTCAGCCAGAAAGCATTGGGGGTTTTTTGGCACTTTATTGCCAACAGTTAATCTGAGGCCAGCTGCTGGAAAGCTTAAACTTTGTCTGAGTGCATCTAAAATGGTGTAAAAGCATGGTCATTACACAAAGGCCTCCATCCAACAGGGAAAAAAAATGATGCTGACTGAGATTTGCTTGTTTATATTCAATATTTTATATTTATGGTGAGAAATTTAGAATTTTGTGATGTGCTTGTTGCATATCATCATATCGTGATCATTATCAAATTGAGATTAATTGCATTGTCAAGTTAGCAAGCAGTATTCCATTTACACATCCTCAATAGACCTCTGTTAAGCTAAAATGCTTCACTATAGTCACCAAATGGATGCTAACTTTTCTTGAGTCAAATCAGTGCTTAGTTGGTTACAGTACGGGAAGGTTTAGCAGAACTTGCTTTGCATATTGCACCTGGAGACAGTGTTGATGAAAGTGAGAGTAATAACAGTCTGGGGATCAATTATTGTCAGCTTAAAAAAATATTGATGAAAGAAGCTTTAACAAAGGCAAAATATGGGGACACAACTTTTAAATCAGTTTTAAATTCTATGCAAAAAGTCCAACCAGAATCTAGGCCCACTCTAAGGCCCACTTACCCCTTAAAAATATATTTAAAGTACTAGTCCCAAACCCTCAGCAACGCCAGCAAGACAGAGACTGTGGCGCCTGGCAGATGACCACCTGTGTCTCATGACTGTCTCTGTGAGCATTAACATAACCATTATTCCACTGAAGAGGACCTTTTCCAGTTATGATTCACCTGCATGTGATGCCAGAGTTTTTCCCAGCCAGCGTCAGAGGAATCTACCTGCTATGATACAACCTAAATCATCACTCCAAAGAGATTGCACATCAGCACTGCTTTGTTTTCTCTCCATTGTCCGGTGATATTGATGTGCTCTCCGTTATTAATTCACAGATGGGTCTGATTATTTCTCATATGAGACTCAGCAGAGGGTTGTGTCGTCAGAGAGTTAACGCTGCAAAATAGTGGTCGGAATGTGATTACTGTGTGGAGGCTGCAGTGATGATAACATGTAAGAACAAAATAATCCAACAATAAACTTTTTCCAACTATGTGAGCCAAGAACACAATCACAGATTTTGGCCCAGGTGCTCGTCTCTGTACTTCTGTGAAGCCAAGCCGTGAAGAGGCTATTTCCTGACTCTTTTTTTTCTCACACTAATTGGTGACATCCTTAAAGCTCTTTTTCTTTAATCCATGAGGCTGGAAAAATTCTAAAAGCAACAGAAGTGTACTTGCAACGTTTTGTCCACAAAACCTCAGCATATAGAGACACCATGCAGAACCTGTACCCAATACACAAGAAGCGTCAATGTCCAAATAATTCACATCACCTCCTCTCCACCGGGATACTTTATCACCGTTACTGAGGCCTGTCACATCTCATCCGCTGTGTTTCCCCCGAATGTCTCCACGCTTATCAGCAGCAGGACATCAACATGCTGCTTTTCGTCCTCCAGGGTTTCATCAATATGTCATTTTAAGTGACTTCTTTTTTCTGCCTGCATGTTTCAAAGTGATTAATGTGTTTGAAATGCCATAGATACTCCAAACCAGGCCTGCTCTAGTCCTCTGGTCCAATTTGAGCCACTTCTCAGGGACTTTTCAATCCTTTAATCAGCAGTGTTGAAGGCATAGAGTCCAGCTGGGAATCACACAGGGTTTATGGAATAAATCAAACTGTTTTCTATGAGGCATTGCTTTTTATTTTGTTTGGTTATTTGAACATCATCTTCCATTTATCCCTCAGAGCATGTTACAAAAAAAAATCTCTGGTTTATTTTATGGACCGCCATTCTTTTTTCAGATGTCAGTGTTCAGAGTATAACTTATCCTGTGAAAACGGACGATTCTTTAAAATGTTAACTGTGCTGAGCATCTGTCTGAAGGCAGTCTTTCAAAGTAAATCACTGTGCACTCAGGTGACAAAGGTGGCTAAAATAGTATCACCTCTGAGCATCTACAGTTACATCAAACAAGTCCAATACTTCCTCCCACTCCCCAGTTCAGTTGGTTGTCCATTGTGTCAAACAAAAGAACTTGACACTTTGAATTGGAGCCTGTGATGGATCGCTTTTGAGGTCAGAAGCCTTTACCGGTGTACTATTTTCATCCCAGCCCAGCCGAGCTTCCAGCTTTCAATAGATACCAACTCGTGTGAAGACTGGGGCATTATGAGGAGTCAAAGAGCTAATTTGAACTATTACGTCATTGTTAAAATATTACATTAAAAGCATATGTTTTTTGCATGATTTAAATGAACTCTTAGGAGGAATGCAGTCATGTTTTTCTGCACAGAGAAGATGATAAGATGGCTGTTTCTGTTTGATAAATGCAGCAAAATGTAAAAAAAATAAATAAAAAAAAGCTCTTATATCACCACACAAGATTTAACAGTAAATGGGTTTTATTCATAAAAAAATGTTTGTTAAAAAGTGATAACGTCATCAAAATGCATTATATCCAGGCAGAAGTTGTGTCTTTGTTTCTAAATACATGATTCTCCCATTATCTCAGTCTTTACCTGCCTGCAGCTGAAAGAGCTCATTGTCCCCTGACATGTATTATCTAGACAACATGAATATAACTTATCCTGATTAAGCCTTCAAGAATCAAACAAAGGATCCTCTATAATACGTTTATCACTAACTTTATCACAGTGGCAATCTTTGCACAATGAGGGATGCCTGTCCCGCAGAGGGGGATACAATAGTTATCAGATAGTTTTTTATTCTAAGTTATTCCGGAATGTTGGTTAGGACACTGAAACACCTCCTGCTGATTTACATTTCATATTCGCCAGGGTGTCATTTAAATTCCCATCTACACCAGGTTATAAATGTAACGAGTTTTGCTTCTTTTTTTTTCATCTGTCTAAATTAGTATAGTCTGTTATAGATCAGACATTAGGTGAGACTTTCCCAGAAACACAGATTCATTCTTGTGATAACTGAAAAAGTTCCACATAGCCTTACCTACAAACCCTCTGCAGACTAACCCTGACTCTTTTTCTATTTTTCCTGCGCCCAACCGGTTTCGCTACGCAGTAAAGAGGGTCAAGCGCCCAGTTAAAACACTCAGTGTATAATTTTATAGCTTTCTCCCGACGGGGCTGCTGGTGCCGGTGTCCAGACGACAATTCGCGAGCAGCAGTGGCGCACACAGATCAGTTTCATTCTTTGTCAGTGGAGGATAGGGGCGGAGGAAGCAAACTCATTAGAATTCTATAAAAAGAAAGTATCAGAGATCATAAAACAGCCGACTGCAGGACTGAAGTGCTCACTCACAGCCAGACAGAGACAGGGTGGAAAACCTCCTGTCAACTTTCTCTCTGTGCCTCACAGCGTCAGCATTTTTACAGATTCTCTTCTTCATTGTTCACTCTCCACACTGGGCTGCCTGTGTTTTTCAGATGACTGCGTAGATGGCAGTCATTCTTATAAATATCTGATTTTCAGGAACACAACCTTGGCTTCATCACAACTCTCTCTGTCTCTGTTGCAGTCGTGCAAGCGTGGCGCATGGACATTGACAGGGCGCACACGTCTCCTTGAGAAACGTCACAATTTTTCCAGCACAAAGTTTATCAATTAGTTGTCGTTTTTTTTTCTTTTGGGTTTTTTTTCCTTACTATACAAGGATGCTCTTTTCAACTTGGAATAGATGCTGTGTTGTGGTGTTTCTCGTCGCCACGCTAAAGACGGGGACATCCCAGGGACCAGACGCGCGCCCAAAAGCGAACTCCATCAAGCCAGCTCTGCTGGAGGAGACACCTACACCCGCTACGAACCGCTCTGCCACCGGTCACAGCGGGATCACCAAGAAACACAACATCCTCGCACAGGTAAGTTTCATTTTTTTTTTACTATCTGAGGACGTAGTGATTGTGCTATAAATTTACGCACAGCTTGATTTTGGTTTCATGGATAAGAGTCAGTGGTATAATTTATTATTAGTGGCCAATGAAACTTAATGATTTCCTTGAGTGTTAACGTGTTCCGATGAGTGTAAAGGAGGAGTATTTTTCATTGAAACGAAATTAAGTGTGACGTTAATTCTTAATTGGAATCAATTGGAATCATACGCTGCATAAGTAAAATAGCCAAACGCCTTCAAAAAACGCTCGTTCACGTGTGAAGCGTTATTGGAAATTGCAGGGATTGGACCCCTCATAAACCTTAATTGCCTCTCAGACCTGACGCCACCGCCGGGTTCAGCGAACTTCCTCATAAATCATTAATGCAAGCAGAAATGTGAGAAAAAGTTAACACTTGGGGTAATTTTCTGTCTGGGTCTTAGTGTCATTAAAGTGGTCCAGACGCTTGCTGGGATTATGAGATTCTCACTGTGGGGCCTCTGAGGGATACTCTTACCGACCACTTAATACCCACTCAAAGAGTTATCAATTCCTGCTGTTTCAACAAAGTGCCACATTACTGTAGTTTGTCTGCAAACGTGGGATCAGAAATATTACAGATTTGGCAGGTTTTGTTCAGGCTAAGAGGGAAAGACGTGAACATTGTGGATGACTTTTATTGAGTCAGGAATTAGACTCAAACATTTATTATGTGGTGTGAATTCAAGGATCTCCATATATCAAAATAATTTAGCATTACATCATAAATTAGTTAATTCTTTCCTTCTGAAGATGATTTGAAAGATTGATTATTCCTTGTCAAATAAACATGGTATAGTAGTAAAACACAAACATGAACAACAGGCCTTGATTTTCTGTAAAAGAACATATCTAGTTCTTATTTAGTATTCTGATTTTGTTGAGCTCAGTGGGCTATCTAATGACCCCTCATGGTATTGTTTTGAGCAGCAGATGGCACTGCCACATCTCAGTCAAGTCCCCCACAGCAGTCAGAATCTCTTTATCAGCCCTCTGCAACGCCTGATTTCTCTTCTCCTGCCTTTCTAAACACTTTCTGTCCCCGATGGCAGCACCTTCCAGATTTGACGCTTGCTTGTGTTTACATTTGGCATGCTACTCTGTCTGTTATATCACTTGCAGCAGTGATAGTGTTGGATATCTGTGAAGCGTTGAGTGCTGAGCGCGGCGCTCTGACATCCAGCTCAGACAGGAGAAATTATGGAAAAGCCACTTTCTCTCCTCTGCGGAGTGTGTAGATCCAACCTCAGGCAACCCTGCCAGACCTCAATTTGAACGCCTGCTTACATCTCTGCCATCGCAATAATGTGAAGCGGTTTGGACGAGTGGACTGAGGGGAAACAATATGAGTGTGTCACAAAAGGAAAATGCCATTGTATATTGGTGTGACCAAATGAGGATGGCTAATAGCATTCATGGCAGAAGGAGTACAAATATATCTGTGTGAGTGCCTGTGTTTGTATGTTTTTGTGTGTGATCTCTGGCTGCCAAGAGGTTTTCCAGAGTTGTAAAGTATCAGCCGCAGCTCAGCCTTGGCCAGATATGTGGCTTGAGGCTGGCAAATAAACTGAACTGACCTTCTGCATCTCATCAAACGGTGGCCTTTTATGAGCAGAATAAATCAGAGATAATAAATCTCTCTTCGTGAGGCTGGAAGGGCAAAGTGTGGCACATGTAAAGTTTTGTGAGTGATTACAGCGGGTTTAAAAATGCAATTATTCCAACATAGATTTCTAAATAATCATATAAACCAAAAAAAAAACTAATTTCCACAGCTGATTAGTGACTTATTTTCTTTCTATAATTGTTCACAGTCGGCAGCAAAAATACTTTCTACTTCGTCTGCTGATCAAGGCTTGGGTGTAAGTGCGGAAAATGGGCACGCATCACCTCAGGCATCTGTGAGGAAACTTCGGCCCCCGATATCCTACAAGTAGATTTACGTTCAAGTTGTCATGTTGTTAAGAGTGTTACAATTGGTGAAGAATAGCTGGTAGATTTCCACACCCCTGAGGGATTTACAGGGGGTTCAGGATGTGAGTCGATATGAGCTTGCCAGCTATCTGAGTGTGAAAGTCTCCATAATTTACCATCGTGAGGCAAGGTTTTGGGGGGTTTGAAAATCTCCCACAGGTAAATACAATTCAAGAAAATGACGACGCATTTCTTATGTATATAATTCTCACATTGACTTTCTTTTGAATCAACAAATTATTGAGTAAAGGAGTCCAGACGCCCTGTAGAGCAGGGTACAATGATTTCATTTGTGGTTTTATCCATCAGATTAAAAACCCTGTTCAAAACCTTTCCTTATGGGAAGTGTTTAACAGCTTACTGTGCTTTTATTTCCTGTTCTTGCGTCCTTTGGCAATAAGAGGCTACATCAGTCAGTGGTAAGACAAAAAATAGACGAGGCAACATATCGTTGTTCTGACTCATGTGATACAGTTATGGAATCACTTTTTCCAAATATCAGTATTTCAATAGTAAAAGAAAAGTCGTTCTAACCAGATATCCACCACCACTGCATGACTCCTCACAATGGCTCTCATGAAATGAATGAGTGTAACATGAAAGGAGATTTGCCAAAACAGAAGTTCACAGCGGGACAAAAGAAGAAGACAGCAGGATAATGTCTGACAGCAGGGAAAGAAGTTAAAGGATGAAACGGGATAGGAGGTGGAACTGATATCAAATTGCAGTAAATAAATACATCAACCCTGCACTTTACCTTTAAATGGGCATTTTGTATTTTTCAGTTAATCAGATATCGTAATGTATCACTGTATGTTTGTCTTGCAACATCTCAATTATCACAGAATTGTTGTATTATGATATTGTTGTAATCGTGGGCGCAGTATCGCACAGCGAATCGTGGTGTTGAGTTACCCTGCCGTTTGCATGCCAACATCAGTCATAAACAAAGAATGACCAGGATTTACGTGATCATTGGTGTTCACTTGGTGAAACCTGCTGAGTGTATTTCTCTTGTCTCAACTATTTGCGTCGATGCAACTGGAGTAAAACCAACAAAACCAACATTTAAGCTGCCACTTTGGGTGGCTCTGTTGGTATGATAGCTGAGGACAGGCGATGTTCCCAAAAGGGAACCTACAGCCGAGGCTGGCATTCATGCAGTATGTGTCTGTAAAACTTAAGCAGCCGGTCGGTCAGCCTTAACTAGTTGCTTTATTTAATTCGAGACCAAGATTACGAGGCCCATAAAAGTGGAGCCATGTCTTTTCTCTCATTCTTTCTGCTCCTTACCTACCCCCTCTCTGACCGAAAATGACTGTTTAGTGATCCTAATGAGCTGAGAAAGAGAGAGACAAGGCGGGGAGAGGTGTGAGTGCTTGTTAGCACTCAAGCTAAACTCGTGCTCCGCTTCCTTGTCCTGTGGCCTCTCCAGCCAGTGGGTCCCTTGGGCGCTGTGAGGGCCTTGCACTGGAGCCGCTGGGGGCCTCCTGTAGCCACCTCCTTCACTGTAATTGGACCTGTTAATGAGAGAGGAGACCCCTTGCACCTCTTTGGATTACACCTCCTAGATTACCCAGAGAGCTTTCACCTTTTTCTTTGAAAGTCTTTGTAGAGAGCAGTCATGATTCTCTCCTCGTGTCTGATGAATAAGATCAACTCACAATGTATACTTAACTTAAGAAGGGCCTAGTTTTTGGAGACTCTGGGTTCTAGCACTCAAAGGGTTGTGCCCATAAACACATGTGTTTTGAGTGATGAAAGACGCCAAGCAGCGTTTGAAGACATGGTTTGTACGAGTCACTTCTGCACAGCCATCCCTATGTTATCGGATACTAGCTGTCTGTGCTTTCAGGGCATATGAAGTTTGTTTATGGAGTGACATCGTTTATTTGACTCCTTAAGGCCTCTGCCTCTCATTAACACCATTCACGGTTTCAGGTTACGAGCCTGAGATCTGAAGGTCAAGTGCAATCATGAGACAAAAAAAGGCCTTTTGCTTAAGTTTGGGTCGACTTTTCACACTTTCATCCTGAACAAAAACAAGGGATGAACAGTTTGTATGAAGTTTTTCTATTACTTAGGTGGTGCAGTTTTCCTGTAAACCATTGAGAGGGTTCAAAGAAAACAATAATAACCCTGGGGAACTGGAAAAAAGTGAAAACATGAGGTTCAACTCCCCTAATAATCCCAATAATTCTTTTACTGTCTCTAAATCTTAAACCCAAAGACGCGACCTAAGCAGAAGAGACATACCTTGTGTTATTTTTACACATTACAGGTTACTTCCATTGAGTTATATCAGCACATTGGAATGAGTCCTCAGAGGTAAATAAGGGACCCAAAGTCTGGGGGTGGAGGGTTCAAAGCCCTGTATATCCTGTAGTAAATCCCTTGGAGATTGTTGCTCCCGCACATTTAAGGTTCCTCTTCAAAGCCGAGACTCTTAACCAGCACGAGAGCCGCACGAGACAGTGCCGGGGGCTTCCCTTATAGCTCACTGTCTGCCTCTTCCTTTATCGTCTCACCAGCATACCAAGGGAGGCTGCGGAGGACACGCTCCTCAACCCACTTCCTGCGCAGGATCCCAGGCAGGGCTTTTATGTGTGAAGGTCGTCTAGGGAAAAATAAGGGAGCAACAGAAATAAAAGATGTGAGATGAATGAGATGCATCCAAATTAAGCATCATCCCTCAGATGCTTGGAGAGAGCCGTTTTAAAACATGACAAGATAAGCCGAGATTATCTGCTGAGATGTAAGGGTCGGGCTTGTATCATTGGGTTTCAAAGGGCTGTCTCACAGTTTGAACCATGATGGAAGAGGTGAGGCCTGGTCTTCTTCTTTTCCTTCTACCCCTTCCTTTATTCACTACGCACAGCAATCGATCCGGGACTGCTGTCCAGAGAGGCAGATAGGAATCAGAGCAGGTAGAATGAAGGACTACTGCAAGTGGCTGGACTCATTTGTCTTCATATTTAGATAACAGCGCATATTTCATAGCAGGGGGCGGGGGGGGGTCCCACAGCACTTTCTTGAACTCTTCAAACCATATTTCCAGCATATTTTCCTCCTCAGCCATGATTATACCAATTGTCCATGGCAACGTTAAGGTTTCTCACAATGCGCAGAAAACCCTCGATGAGATGTGAAATTTCATCTTTGGAGGAGCAGTTTGCCAGAAATCCTGATTGTCCCTCTCAGTGGAGCAAACACCATCAACTGAGGACTGTAAGATGTGATTAACAGATCTTGAAAACCCATTAAGAAAGGCTCACTTTCTTGTTGGGATCAAGATGAGAACATCGTTAATGTCTGCATGATCAAAACAGAGGTGGAGCTGGGAAGCGATAAGCTTAGTTGAGCATGGACACCTGGCGGGACTTTGATGTCTTTTCATACTAAATTTATATACTATAAATCAGCTCCTCCAATTCAAACTCAAACTGTACACCTTGTATGTTTTAATCAAACAATATCACATACATTTCGAAACAGAAAATCGATGGATGTAGAGAGAGCTTTGTGTTTGAGTTACTTTTGCCCCAGGTTAGTTTTCCTTGGATTGGATTGATGTTTTAACTTTTTACAGAATGAATAGGTATCTATTAGTATAATGGGGCCATACAATTTTCTTAAAGGACAAACATGTGTCATCTAACTCTAAAAATGTTATACTACTACTACTACTACTACTTCTTCTATTATAAAAAGTATTATAGTGGAAAAGATAGGTTTAATGGCTAAAATGGCTACAATGTCAATGGGTACCACTACTATTTTGTTGTTTTTAAAGAGTAAGGAATCTTACAAGAATTAGATTGAAAAATAATGTGGCTTCATATTTTACTGGACCCTACCGTGCTAACAAAAATGGGGAGGGGGGGAAGAAATTGCCAGGATAAAGATAACACTGCTGTCATGACCAGAGTAGCTGTCTTGTGAAAAGTAAACTAATCTTCTTGTGTAAAATTCCTGGAGTTTTCCTTTGAAATAAAGCCTTTTGAATATTTGGGGAACACAGTAGAAATTATGGAATATTTAGAATCCATCAGACATCGGGGCTGTTTTACTTTCATCAACACATTAAGCATCTGTATTGTTGGCCTCTGTCATGATGATTAATGAGTATTCAGTTTAATATTCCTGCTCATTTTTCTATGTGTGTATCATTGCCTCCATGTGTTTCCAGCCTGAGAATGTCCGCGTGGCATGAGTCCAACATGTCTAATCTTGTTCACTTTCTGAAGCACCAGAACATCAAGTAACAATTTCTAATGTGCTGAAATACCGATGGTGTTGGGAGTTGACTTTAACATGTGCCGTAAATTCATATTCGCCTGTTCTTGAGGGGAGCTCCTCTCAGCTGACCTTTGTACCCCAAATGAAGTTTGCTTTTTATTACGGCTATAATGGTTTTATTCTGTTTTAAACCTCTTTCTTGTTCCTTCTAATGTTTATTGTTCCATGTTTGTCAGTGGTAAGCCACACTAAATCAGATCTGTCAGTGCAGTGCCAGCTCAATGTGGTTGTGGTGCGGGTGGTGGAGTGCCAGCCAAACATGTTGATCTAATGTCAGTCTTCACTGGACATAATTTACTCAGTCAGAATTCATATCCTGCTTACTTTCACTACATAGTTGAAGAGGTGTTGTGTTGTGCCATGTTTGAACAGCAATATCCAAGATCAAACTAAAGGGCTTCAAATAAGATAAAGATGTGCAGAATTGGAGAAACACTGGTCTGACGTTTGTGGAGTCTTGCCCAGGGGATGTTGACTTTTGATGGAGTACTGATGCTTTCCTGCAGACATTTAAACTGTCCCTTTCTCTCTTGATGAGGTCTGTGCACATTTGTGACATTATTTCGTTTGTCAGAGGAGCTCATTTGATTTTGAGAAACAACTTATGTAGAACTCCTTTGCTCCTGCTCCAAGTCTAACAGCGGCAGGAATTGCATGTGTAAGGAATTATATGAAGACAGCGGTTCCAGTAAAAATTCCCATTGCTGCACACACTTGTTATGGAAAAAGTAAACTTGGACTTAATTGTGTTCTCACTGCTGTGGACTGAGGATGTCATGTTTGTTAAGATGGTGGTTTTTCTCGAATGGTCATTTAGTCCACTTCTGGAAAAGATTCTGGTTCTAGATGGACTTTGCTGGACGAAAGGACAAAATGTTCCAACTTTTACGGGGTAAAAGAAGAAGTACTAAAGCAAAGGCAATGCAACACTTGACCTTAATTTCCCCTTGAAGTATGTCTATAAATTCGTGAAGCTTCTGAACACTTTAAGGTAAACTAAGGTGTTTTTTGTTTGGCTGGAAATTTTAATAGCTCTATTGTCTGGTACCTGAAAAAATGCACCACACAAGAGGGACACTTAATCCCTACATCATGTTGTCCTCTAAAATTGGGCGCTGATAGACCGATTATGTCACTCAAAACTAACAAACAATTTTCTGTGTAACTCCAAAGATATCTAGCCTCAGGAGAGTTTTGGCTAATTTGCAGAGGTTTTAAATCAATTCATGTTGCTAAGAATTTAAACGACCAGAATGAATAATAATGTTGCTCCAAAACTGTTATTTTTTAATCAGGTGCACACAAATACATTTTGAACACAATGTATTGAATTTAAGGTGGGCTTTAATGAAGTCCTCCTCAGGTCCTGTTTTTGGGTAGACTGAAGTTGGCACAATAGTTAAACTATTAAAAAAAAGATTTAAAAACTCTGAACATAAAACATGGGTTTTATTTGGTTGTTAAATGCTTCAATTTAAATTTTGCAACCTCAGGTGCACAGTGCGAATGCGGTCTATTGGATGGAATTAGAAAGATTACAGTCGTTGTGTGAGGTCTAGGCAAGTATAGGGATATGAGCTTTTTACAGCCTGTGTTCCTGTGTGGGAGATACAGAATTACCACCATTAAAAAAATGCTGAATTTAACCAATTTAATATGAGAGGGGAAAACATAATGGTTCACCACCCGAAGAAAATCCAGTATTTGAGAGTATAGCCAGAAAAAATGAAACCATGTATCACCTTATCAATGCAAAGTTTTTCAATGCACCCTGCATTCCTAGGACATCTAACCTAAGGACATTACGACAGAATTTGTTGTTTATTCTACTCATCTATAAGGTAGAGCTAAAAGTATACTTTGACCGCTCCTTTATTAAGATCAATGTGCGTTTGTGCAATGTTAGATCTTTATAAATCCAATAGGAATCAGTTTACATATTGAGTCAATGCATCTTTTTTCTTAACAGGTGTATCCGTGCAGCACTGATAAGGAGTGCAGTGTGGAGAGCTACTGCCACAGCCCTCAGCAGGCTCCATCTCGATGCCTCACCTGCCGCAGGAGGAAGAAGCGCTGCCATCGTGATGCCATGTGCTGTGCTGGGAACCGCTGCAGCAACTGTACGTAACCAATATAAACACATAACAGTTTCGGTTATAGAGTCACTGCAGGGGTATATTCAGATATATGACCAGTTATCAGAAATAAATGATAAAATTCAGAAGATTGAGTTTCATGAATTAACATTGTGTGAATGTATGTTTGTTCAGAGACCAATTGTGGACAAACAAATAGAGGAAGTTGCCTGCCTTCACAGTCTCATTTACACATTGGTCTTATCTTTCAACAATCCAAGTTGGGTATTATAGGTTGAACAATCTGCTGTGCAGTTTCATAACAAGGTATGAAGTTATGTTCTCTGTCATGTTTGACCATATTTTTGTGTCTTCAACTCTCGACAGATATTTGTGTTCCTATCTCTGAGAGTGTGCTCTCACCTCACCTCACTACTTTGGAAGAGCATAACAAACTCTCCACCAAAGAGCACAACTGGAGGAAGACTGGGAAAGCACATAATAAACATTCTCTTAAAGGTAAGGTTATACAGCAAATCCCTGACATTATGTTATGTAACCAAGTCCACTATATTGCAAGAAAAGGTCCCGCTGGTAGTTCTTTCATCTCTTCTGTTTTCATCCTCTCTGAATCCAGTCTGGGTAGCTCAATCTCTCTGTTCACTTTCTGCATGTCCTACAGAGTCCATGGGCAACACCAGTCCACAAACTATGTTGATAATTACCCCTGTGCTCATATGTCAGTGTCTGTGGGCCCAAAATCACAGCATGAGGAGCTAGAAGGAACCACAATGCCTGTGCTGTTTCTGAACCTACATAAAGCCATACACACACTCCCATTGACAGCACACATTATATGATACACAAGTGAAAGCCACAGAATGCAGGTTTGGCACCATTATGGCTAGTAACTCTAAGAGCCCCCTGCTTAGCGTTCATGTCACCTGATTTAAAGTCAGTGTTAGGGCTTCTATGTAAGCACTGGATTTAATGATGCACTTAAATTACTCAACTCTAAATGCACCCTCAGGACAGCAGGCTGCAATACTAAAATCAACGTGAAAATAGCAGCACTGCATAAAATTGCTATAAATAAGTCCATTTACTTTTAGGTGTACTAAACGTACTCCCTCCCCTTAAAGGTTATGTTTTACAATGTCTGTGTGCAGGTTGCTTGTTGGGGAAAAAATCAACCAAGAGAGTCACTGGTGTTAAAGCAATGTATGAACAGTCTCCATTAGAAGTCAACCAAGCTCATAGTTGGAAATGCCTATTTAACAAACGTTCATTTGGGATGATTTTCAAATGACAAAGTGGCTTTTGGCAAGTGGTGGAACACATTAAGACGTTTTTTTGGGGAAAAAACCCCTGCATAACTAATTTATACAAATTATGAGTTCATAGGAGTAAAGCTAACATCTTGCCAAGACCATCAGACTCAGACCAGATGGGACGATATGGTCAATACACAGAATTAGCAAATTGTTTGCTTGATTTACATTGAACTCTCCGTGCATTTCTTTTGTCTCTAATGGCCGCACAAAATGCTACGTGAACAGAAACTTGGAGAATGGTTTGCATTAAGTTAACCAAAAACATACAGTTTGATGAACCATAACCTTACATTTCCTTTTCTTTATTTCACTGGAGAACTATGAGTCTGAGATGCTGGATGGTTTATAATTTCATGCAGATCTTCAATGTCCCAGATTATTTATTTATTTCTGGTTTTCTAACAAGAAATGCCAACTTGATGTTCTGTTTGAAGATATATTGTCTTCTGGTTCAGCCTTGATCACAACTGCTTCTTGTCTTCTTGTTTTAGGGCATGAAGGCGACCCCTGCCTGCGCTCATCCGACTGCTCAGAGGGCTACTGCTGCGCCCGCCATTTCTGGACCAAAATCTGCAAGCCAGTGCTGCGGCAGGGCGAGGTGTGTACCAAGCAGAGGAAGAAAGGCTCTCACGGCTTGGAAATCTTCCAGCGCTGCGACTGTGCCAAGGGCCTTTCCTGTAAGGTGTGGAAAGACGCCACCTCATCGTCCAAGTCCAGGCTCCACATGTGCCAGAAGATCTGAAGCGGAGGCAGCTGCTGTCGGCGTCCAGGCCTCTGTCTCCATCTGCCAGGGAAAGTTTTTTTTTTTAAAGGATGGGTTGTGGCTGTATTGAAAGGAGTAAAAGATAGAGACTAACAAGAGACAGAACAGACTGCGTGGGTTCAAGCTCGCTATTTGGCGTGCATCGATCGAACAGGATTGCTTTTATGTGTCTGCTGTGAGAGGTCCATCCCTGCAAAAACATACAAACACACACAAGCACACACACGCGCTTCATGGGTGTGTGAGGATCCATGATCTTATGGTTTGCTTGCTCAGAAATACAAAAAAAAAACTTTACACAATCTCAAGACATTCAGGGAGGCTCAAAGTTAGCGGGTAGATGCTGTGATAGGTGTGGACCTTTTTTCAAGATGGAGGGAGTAGAAGTAGCACTCTTTCGTCAAGCTATAGCTTATATTAATAAGACTATTTACAAACAAGCCATATTTCTATTTACTGCACGAGAAACTCCAAAGCCAAAATCAGTTGTGTTATATCCTGTCTTTCATTACCGGGTCTGTTTTCTGCCATGATGTGTTGTCTGATTTGTTTAATTTCAATATCTCACTCTTCATGTTGTTTGTAGTAAGTCTCGAAGAATTTCGCTGTTGTTATGCAAGACATTTACAACCAGTAACAATGTCCAGACGTATCACGTACCCAGCTATATTATACGAGCAACTAATTGCATATACAGTTTACTCCGAAGCTGGACTTGTGTACTGCAGCAGCATCCTGAGACTTCAAGAAATTCTCTTAAACCAAAGAATGAAAGACCATTTAGATCAGAGTGATGACTTTCATCTGGGGGCATTAGCTCCTCGGTCAATTTTTGAACCACAAGAAGAGAAATAAAGCATTGTGTCCATTGTGGGAATGTCGTTTGATCTGTCAGATACAGCTGCAGTCTATTGTGATACAACTTTGTGGGTTGAAACAGTTTGCACTGAGGTAGAGCTCTGCCGAAGACTTTATGGTTCTGATACCAGACCCAGAATAGTTCTGCTTTTTACAACTACAAGAACAGGATTCAAGGAGTGCAATTTCTTTTTTCAGTTACAACTCAAGTAAGGAATGAGGACGCAAGAAGATTGATAAAAGTGGCCCTAAACACTCCATAAACCTAAAAAGTAAAGAGAAACGTAAGAGAGTTGTAATTGTAATCAACATGTTTTTCCTGTTTATCAGCTATGACTGCATGATCCTTTCTCATAAACATTGCCAGTTCTATTGTATAAGATGGGAAGCAATCCTTTTTTTCCCTACCTACCTGCATAGTCATTATTAATACCATCTATTTGCTTTCATGTCTTTAGAGCATCAACTACACATCTTTTGTACCCACTCAAAATATCAATAAGCTCTTATATTGTAAATAGATTGGAAACAATGAATATGTATTTAAGAATCAATGTATATCATGTACATATAATTAAAAAAAATATGAATCTTAAAGGAAACAGTGAAATGATCTAGGTGAGAAGAGTAATGAGGGATGAAATAGGACAAGCACAGTTATATTCAGAAGTATGTAGTTCAAATGATACAAAGTTGTGTTTAAGTGAAGGGGAAAGTTTTAGTTATTTTTGACTCATATTACAGACTGGATGTTTCATAAGCGACACGGAGAGCCACGCATATTCAATTTCAAAAACAGTTTGTGTAAATGGTGTGTAAATGGTGTCAAGATGTACATCCCATTAAATATATTTTTTTTTTCTGTCAATACTTTGCTTTGATTTGTTTTGTGTATTTACAGTGATGGATGAATAAAGAATGTATTTTGTATCAGTTGTGACACAGGACTGGTTACTTGAGTTTAAAAAAAATAATAATAATAATAAATGAAATGCACGTATCATAGTGTTTAAAGCAGATGCTAATTTGCAACACCTGTCCCTAGAAGGGCTTTTGAGAAGATAAAAGATAAAAGCAGGTAAGTTAAAAAAAATTGTAATGTAAGACAGAAAACATGATGAAAATGCCTTCTTTTCATTTTAATACACACAGAAGAAGCCAGCTTTATATTTAAAATAGTCTAAGCCCAATCACCTGCTTTCCTCTTTGTTTAACATGCTAATGGTAAAGTGCAACAAACTTTGGTTTCACATCTTAAATGAAGCTTTTTTGTAAACAAACAAAGTCCAGTTTACATCCAGTTTTATTTACAGAAATGCTTTGTATATATTCTTGGAATTTATTAAACGTGTTGTAAGACGTTTTGTCCTTAGAAGACATTGTAAAAGCAGATTTTATGGACCAGATGTCTGCATGCAAGTCGTGTGTTTAGTTGGTAAACAACGTAAACACAAACTTCACAGGATACATTTACATTCTTGTAGGTCACATTACATTTGAGTGATAAATAAAACAACAATGAAAGTTCAAGTTCAGTTACATATCATCATTTGAGGACGGAATGTGTTACTTATCTCATCAGCTTCTTCAGATCTTTGTGGGTGTGTGGTCACACAGGGTTAGGGTTAGGGTTAGGGTGGCTTTCAACTTAAGCAGAAAAAAAAGATGTCAAAACTGTAATAGTAAAAGGATAGGATAATACTTTATTGATCCCCAGAGGGGAAATTCGGGCGTTACAGCAGCACAGACAAGAAAGCTCAAATACACATTAAACAGAATAGATAAGATAAATAAAAATAAAAACAGGGGGTATATAATCAGATTTCTACAAAAAAAAAAAAAATCATTATCTCTTGTATGTGGAAATACATTACAAGAAAATCTTAACTCCATATGAGACCCCTACTCTTTTTGCGAATTATGGGCCTTTGGTGTAATCAGTACAGCTTAATTATGTGAGTTGTTACAGAGACTACAACTTCAGCGGAGTGATCATAATTTTATATCATAAGTAATACAGCTATTACATATTTTAAGTCAACCAAATTCAAAGACCGTTACACGTTTCTTGAGGTTCTTCAGCATGACTTACTGAGCTTTAATAACTGAACATATATTAACTGCATTATACACTTCTATGTCAACTGACCATGAAATCAGAGCTGAAATGGTCATAATTTAAAATGCATTTGGAGAAAGACTGCTGCGGCAAATCCTGAAACAGTTCAAGGGTCACCAAAACCGCCAACGTAACTGTGTCTGCATTTGAGATCTTTTCATGAGTACAAATAAGACTTCATGAGAGTCATTACATGCTGATGCTTTGCAGATGTGATCTATAGACAATATGCTTTCATATGGTCCTCTTTTGGTAAAAAAAAAAAAAAAAAAGGTGCAGGATATGTTTTCTGAGGCAGAGCCCACTTATTTTTCATTGCCTATAATGTCAATAATGATGCCTTTAATGTTAATCTCAAAGACATCTCAATGCGATTACTGTCCTCCCAATTCAGACAATGAACTAAAAGCTTTTCTAGAGGCCACTTTCTAACCAGATTCACGATTTTCAGACCAGTTTGTGTCCTCTTTTGAATGATCCCCAGAGAGTGGCATATTTTTCCATAATCCCAAACAGAAGACACAATTTGCAAAAACATCAAATGCAGCAGCTTCGATGTAGGGCTGCTATTGTTCTTCTCAGTGTGAATTTCTTGGCCATGGGAGTTGTTATTTTCATATTCTAGCTTGACTTTTCATGCCCCGGCCACAAACAAATGAAATCTTCAATAAAACGAAAGCTGTTGAAAACTGTCTTAGCAGTAAAGTCATGCCCCTACTTACAGGCATTTTGTTCAAGGTTTTATAAATGCTGTTTGAACCAGATGGTAGGCTACGTGGCCCTTGAAGCTGCTGCACTGCCACAATAGAACTACAACTACATTATTTGTGATTTACGAGCCCTGTGAAGTAAGTCTTGCAGCCTAACTGTCAGTATACATTTAAACAGCAGTGCAGCCCTCGTGCCAAAATAAGCTCTACCCATTGCAACCAGTAAGTGAAAATTCTTTTGCATAAACATCTGGTGCTGCTATAAAATGTTCAGAGACCTTTGATTGGATATTTTAAGTCTTTTTTTTTTTTTTTGAAGGGTCCTTATGTAAAGTTGCTGAGTTGGATTTGTTGTGTCTCTAATCATCTGTAATTATTTCATAATACATATTCAATTTTTCCTCCAGTCATTAGCGTATTTTGCAGACTCTGCGGAAAGGTCTGGGAGTGACCTCCTATGTAAATGTGTTCACCAGATGTTCAATACTTGTATTTCAAATAAGGTAGGAAAAAAGGTGCAGACTTCTAAAGGTAAACCCATTTACACCAGGTACCTCGTCTTCTGTTTCCATATTTGTGTTCTCCTTAAAAAAGCAATTAAGGTAATGCCATACAAAATAAATTAACTTTTATCCTATAGTTAATAAGATTTGATCAATGTTTTATCCCCTTACTTGAATGCTGATGAGCGTCACAATAAATCAGTTTCCCACATTGCCTATAACTGTTAAAAGCAGAAACCTGCTATATTCAGCACCAAACTCAGCACTCTGCACTTTACAAGGTTGTGTTTCCAATCCAACAAGTGTCCATCCAGGCAGGTTTTTTTCCCCTCGCATGTGCTTTTGATTGAAAGTAATGACTCTACCCTACCTTTGTTTGGATAAGGTTTCTATTTACTGAAATATGGATGCCTTTTTATCTTCACAGACACTGGAAAGGGTACATTCAGGGTGACTGGAGACTGCAGGTCTCCATGGAAAGAAAAGGTAGATACAGACAAAAAGCACTTTTCTGCAGCTCCAGGCCACCCACATGCTCTGAGTCTCAACCAAAAAGCTGCTAATAAGAGAGTGACTGTCACTGGCTCTGCACTTTCCAGCGTGTGTCAGCAGAAAACACAAATGAAGGAGTTTACACAGACAGGTCTGACTGCCCGTGAACTTGCCAGCTAAATAAATATGCTAAATGATTCAGTGGAAGGCTTTGATTGTGTGCCCAAGTTGGCACAGTGAAAATCATAAATGTAATTTGGGTTGGTATGGCTCATATCATTTGCTGTGGCAGAGAGGGAAAGTCTTGTCAAGCAAATGGGCTCATGACTTAATCACACGGACTTCTGCATCTGTGTGTGGCATTACACATACACTGCGTTCATTCAACAAGAACGCAAATACTCACCCTGAACAAAGCCAGGTTCAAACAAACACTGTTGAAAATGTTTCAAAAATAAGAAAAAGATTGACCACAGGATAAACGTGATCAGCTGTGTGATGATATTGTATCCTCCTCCCAGAGAGTCTGTTGGTCATTCTCAAGTCTTTGTTACATTTGCGTGGGATCACATTTTATGATTAGTCTTTTGCCTTGTGATTAGAAGTGAATTAAAGCAGCAATATTGTACTGCATAAACTTAAAACGTCTCAAAATCTAGTTAACAATAATTGCCTTTGTTGACTGACATCTTTTGTTTGTGATAAAAGTGTTGGACAGAGTACTTAGAGTAGGTCTTCAGCTAAAGTAAAACCAGTGTAACGGTGTCAAAGTATCCCATTACTGGTCAAGGTTAGGCATTTACTTGATCAAAAGTAAAAGTCAAGTGGTAGAGGGAACAATCCATCATTTTAAAGCAAAGACCATGGTCTCAGAGAGGTGCTAAAAACTGCCCAAGAGTTGCTGGCAGTCCCAGTTTGATGAAAATAACAGCACCACATCATCTGCAAAATAGGGATTCATTCTAAGGTCCAAAAATTGAACACCTCCCATTCCCCGACTGTGCATTAAGATCTTGTTGATGAAAACCACCAGAAACAAGAGACAACCCTCATGGAGCCTAAGAACATGATACAATGATACGTACACAGCTCCCATTTTGGTTTGAGGTTTACCCAATCGCTGACCCTCTTTGCTCCTGTCTGATGACCACATAGCATCCTGGAGTGACAGCCAAGTTTTCAGTGCTTCCTTTGTAGCCAATTGTTGATGAACAATAACTTCTAGCCAAGACTTCCGTTACTTCCGTTATTCACTATGCCAGCATTTACAGGCCGACTAGCAGCTTGAGAAAGGAGAATGGAGTTGGTGTTGAGAAACACCATCTCAATGCTGGAGGCCTCGGCCCTGTGCTTATCTCTTACATCTAAATCCGAAGTCTGCTCTGATTGAGGCAATGATTACAACTGGCAAGGTTTGGATTGCATCATTGCAACAAAGTTCAAGGTTTAACATTTTCCATGACCTCTCTTTGCAGCAGCATATGCTCCAAGAAAAGAACCATTTTTAAAATAAGAGGTTATCCAAATAGATGAAAAGTCTCTGCCAACACTCAATCCCTGGACCCCTGCCTGTTCAACCACTGCTTTTTGTCAGATCTCAATATATCTGCTCTCCTGTTATTAAACAGTTGCATTAGTCCTGATGGAAATACTTTGTGGGTAACAGAAGTCCAATAACCCTGAGCAACTCAGTACTAAGGGTCTTTTAGAGAAATTAATGTATCATGACTTATTAAACATGACTTATAAGACATTATGTCTTATCTTTAGACACCAGGTGTTTCTTCAATTCATGCAACACCTCATTTATATTTTTGCCTCTTACATCTTCCAAATCACCAGTGTGAGTTTCTTTAATGCAACATCTTATTTCAATACTTCTAGTCAGATGTCCATTTGTTCCATGTCCATCCAACAGCAAAATAATATTGGTTTATTTAGTTGATGAGTCACTGGAAAAAGCACCTGGTGGTGCTGGGATGCTTTTCACTGTGGGCTAGATGACAAATAATATCATTTATGTCATTTACAATCTTTTCCATGCACTCAATCCTTTAAATCACTGAAAAAGCAAGT